CTCGGGCTGGTCTCTTCCCCCCCCTTCTTCTCCCGTTTCAGTGTGGCATCATCCTGGGAGCTCTGCTGCTGGTTTTCTGTTCTTGGATGACTCATCAATCCTGCATGTTCCTGGTGAAATCGGCCAATCTCAGCAAGCGCAGGACCTACCCCGGCCTGGGTGAGAATGTTCAGCTCTAGGGCTGGGTTGGTTTTGTTTTGGTTCGTTGTTTGTTTTTTTTTTTTTCTGACTGCAGTTTGACTTCTTAATTTACAACTTTCATTCTGGTGTTGTTGGAATAGCAAATGCTTTCTTGGGGTGGCTTTCAGTCCGTGTTGGTTTCCCCTGCCAGTCTCTCCCCCGCTCCCCGCCCCGCGTCCTCAGGGGAACGTGAGGGTTTAATCTTGCCCTCGGCGGCAAAGTGAACGGGCGCAGAATTGTTTTGCCTCTGCGGGGCCGGGGAGGGGCCAGAGCGCCGACTGATCAAAACCCAAAGTTTTTTGGGAGCTGGCGTAGCGGGTGTCTGGTGTAAATTATCGGTCTCGGCATGAAAGCCGCGAGCTTCCCCACCCAGTGTGCCGCCGGGGACATGGGGTCCTGCCAGCGGAGAGCCTGGCACGGAGCTGGGGCCGCCTGGGCCCGAGCTGGGCGCGCGCTTGCGGCGGCGCGGGGAGGAAACGGCGCGCGAGAGAAAACAAAACCAGCTGCAGGATTCCTGGGGGGGTTGCGAGCTGCGCCTGCCAGCCCTCCTCCTCGGAGCTCGTCGCCTCTGCCCTGGCGCCAGGGTTGCCCTTTGCTCCTGACCTGATTCTGATTCTGACCGACTTGGGGACCTGATTCTGACTGACTTGGGGGGCAGGAGGCGGCGGTCGGGTTCCAGTCCTCTCCATCAGCCTGTGAAACAACAGGAAAAGTCACCTTGTACTTGTTTTCCCTTATTTCTCCGGGGGAGGAGGGAGTTGGCTGGCACTGCCCTCGGGGAAAGAGCCGAAGAAACACGCGGCTCGCTCGCTGGCAGACGGGGCTCCTCCATCTTCGGAGTGCCCGAGGTGCTGCTGCCGGGCGGCGCATCTTGGCTTCTGCTCAGTTCTACCTGCTGGAGACTGGAAAGATCCAGAAGTTCTGCGGCCTCGGAGGTGGTGATGCTGGAGGGAAGCCTTGGAGGTGGTGCCTGCGATGCTGGAGGGAAGGGGGAGCCCCCAGGTAGCGTCTGACGTGTCCCAGCTGCCCCGGGTTGCCTCTCGCTGCCCCCTCACAACACATCTTTGTCTGCCGCTTCCCCGAAGGACAGAGAGTCCCCTCCACCTTGGAGCGTCTCCCGGGAAAGAAGGGATCCTCAGCGCTCTTTGAAGCCAAGGGGCTGGAGGACACAGGGGGGGCTGCTAAAGCTTCTAAACTTCCTGGCATGCCAACGCTGGCGCTGAAAGAAATGCCTCTGCCCTGGGAGAGGTGCCACCGGGAGGGCCGGCCCCGGGAGGAAAGGCAGCGCTCCTACGGCGCATCCTAATGCAGCCAGGTCGAGCAAAAATTGTCACCGGCGGTGGGGGGGCTTGTGCCCTGGGACATCTGCGAGAGATCCTGGCAGCCCCCTCGCAGCTGATTCTGTGGGAGGTTTTGGCAGCGCTGAAAGGTGGAAGAAAGTTTTGCAAATTCACTTCAGGCCGCCAGGCCCTTCCGGAGGAACGCTGAGAGCGATCGTTCCCGCTGTGAAAGAGCCAGCGCCGTCACGGGCTGGTATCCAGCCCAGGCGGCTTTGCCCGGCAGCGCCGTGTGCCTGAAGGGGTTGGGAATAAAAATATTTTGCTCTTCACCGCTGTTCTGCCTTGCGTGGAAGGGAAGGGCCTTGGATGGATGAGGACAAGCAGCGGGATGGTGTTCCCAGGTGGATTTTAACCACGAGATGAGATAATGCTTCCCCTTGCAGCTGCTGGAAGCGGCCCGGGTCTTTGCAGCCTACCTGTGCCGGGTACCCACCCCGTCAGCAGCACGCTGCGCCCCCGGGAGGTGGCTGGGCTCTGCTCCCTGCAGAGAAAAGTGCGGTTGGCCTTTAACCCACCCTTTTAAAAAGGGCTTGTCTCCAGCAGATTCTGCCCAGCTCGTTAGGCACCCGCTCCGGAGGGGCTCAACTGTGCAGTTTACTTTACAGTCATCGTCTCCTTCCTCCTTGAGGAGGTGAAGGACCCGATTTGTCCAGCCTCCCCAGGTGAGACGTCTGGCATAGCGTCTGAAGGCTGGTGCTCCTCAGAGCATCCCTTCAGAACAGCCGAGGAGACCGATCGTTT